AAATTTCGATCCAACTTCTGATTAGATAGTTATAGCGGTTTGAAGTCTCGAAAAGTCGATATGATGATATCCCCATGTTAAGCCAATGGAGTCGAAGATAACATTCTTAAGAGTTGTCTAAATGTCTATATTCTAGCTGACTCAGCTTATTCTGAATGACTCAGCTTACAAGTATTTGGATGACTCAGCTTAAAAAAAGTATTAAATCTGGAGTCTTAAATTGAACTTGTTCAATTTACATGTCTAGTTATTATTATTATATCTTGGTTACCGCCATATTTGGCGAGCAATACCTCATTGGCAATACCTCATTGGTATATTCCATATTTTACGTATTTTTACACTCGAAGACAGAGCCAGAAACCCCTCCTTGGAGGAGCCCTGTGTTCTTTTTTGTGCACAGGTACACAGACATACAGGTACACACCACAGCCTTTTATACGAGTCGTGAACCACTCAGTCAAACACCCAGAATTACATAACGCACAAACAAACTTGTCTGAACCGGGAATCGAACCCGGGGCCAAGCGATATTGGTAACCTTGCTCTGCCACTGAGCCATAGCGGGTGGACTCATAATATCTCTCTAATTTTTTTTTATTCTTCAATATATTCTTATGAAATTTTCTTAGATCAAGGCACCTGGGGCAAATTAAAATAATTGAGAGAATGAGCTTAATTAACCATGACCTTGACCCTTGTATAATAATAAGCTAGTAATCCTCAACTTCCTCCAAGTTTAGTTAATGCTTTTACAAGTGGGTATGAGGTTTTGTTGACACAATTGAAATCAGTTAATATAACATGTTAAAGAGATCACTCATCTTGTCTCCTTCATCTTGAGTTAAAGAAAGTAGAAGGGTTTGAGATGAGTTGAGATTGTCACAACTTCAAAATATCTTTTTGCTCTAGTAATTCCATACAAGAACACAAATGTGTACAAAATGTCCCCACCTATGGGTGATCCCGTCAAATGGTTATCCTAAAAATGAGTAGACAAGACTTTACCGACACAATTTGAGGACGGAAAATCCAAAATGGCCACCTTAAAATTTACCCAGAATGCCAAAAAATTAGTCAGTTCTAGATTTTCATACTAAGAAACACCCCTGAAAATTTGAAATTGATCCGTCACACAGTTAACCAGAAAACATGTAAACAAGACTTTACAGACAAGATTTGAGGACAGAAAATCCAAAATGGCTGCCTTGACATTTATCCAGAATGCCAAAAAACTAATCTGTTCTAGATTTTCAACCGAAGAATCATCCCTGAAAATTATAAATTGATCTACCAAACGGTTCACCTGGAAATGCGTAGACAAGACTTTACAAACAAGATTTTAGGACAGAAAATCCAAAATGGCTGCCTTGACATTTACCCAGAATGCCCAAAAACTAATCAGATCTAGATTTTCATACTAAGAATCATCCCTGAAAATTTGAAATTGATCTACCAAACGGTTCACCTAAAAACGTGTAGACAAGACTTTACAGGCAAGATTTTAAGACGGAAAATCCAAAATGGCTGCCTTGACATTTATCCAGAATGCATAAAAACTAATCAGATTTAGATTTTCATACTAAGAATCAGCCCTGAAAATTTGAAATTGATCTACCAAACAGTTCACCTGGAAATGTGTAGACAAGACTTTACAGACGAGATTTTAGGACAGAAAATCCAAAATGGCTGCCTTGACATTTACCCAGAATGCCCAAAAACTAATCAGATCTAGATTTTCATACTAAGAATCACCCCTGAAAATTTCAAATTGATCTACCAAACGGTTCACCTAAAAACGCGTAGACAAGACTTAACAGGCAAGATTTTAAGACGGAAAATCCAAAATGGCTGCCTTGACATTTATCCAGAATGCCCAAAAACTAATCAGATCTAGATTTTCATACTGAGAATCATCCCTGAAAATTTCAAATTGATCTACCAAACGGTTCACCTGGAAATGCGTAGACAAGACTTTACAGACAAGATTTTAGGACGGAAAACCCGCTGCCTTGACATTTACCCAGAATGCCAAAAAACTAATCAGATCTAGATCTTCATACTGAGAATCATCCCTGAAAATTTGAAATTGATCTACCAAACGGTTCACCTGAAAATGCGTAGACAAGACTTTACAGACACGATTTCAGGACGGAAAATCCAAAATGGCTGCCTTGCCATTTACCCAGAATGCCCAAAAACTAATCAGATCTAGATTTTCATACTAAGAATCATCCCTGAAAATTTGAAATTGATCTACCAAACGGTTCACCTGAAAACATTCAAAATGGCTGACATGACTGAGCTAACAGGTCCAAAACCTAATCAGATCTAGAATGAAGTGAGCTGAACAAGATGTTAAAGTTTTAAAAGCAACTGTGAAGCCGTTTTTCTTAAAGTTTGCAGACAAGGATTTTAGCAATTGACTTCAAAATGGCCGACAGGAAGTAGGTATCGAGATAATTTTTTTTCATCCACATCTGTATGCACTCATAACCCAGATAGCACAAAGACGTCGGGCCGACGTCGCTATTGGTGGCCATTGGTTGGCATGGTCGCAGTTGGCAAATTGTAGTTGGGCCAACGTTGGCCCGTCGTTGGCTGCCGCTAATACCATGGATCAAAATTGCAGTTGGCAAATTGTAGTTGGGCCAACGTTGGCCCGTCGTTGGCTGCCGCTAATAACAGGATCAAAATTGCAGTTGGCAAATTGTAGTTGGGCCAACGTTGGCCCGTCGTTGGCTGCCGCTAATACCATGGATCAAAATTGCAGTTGGCAAATTGTAGTTGGGCCAACGTTGGCCCGTCGTTGGCTGCCGCTAATACCATGGATCAAAATTGCAGTTGGCAAATTGTAGTTGGGCCAACGTTGGCCCGTCGTTGGCTGCCGCTAATACCAGGGAGCCACCTATCGATAAATCAGTGCAAAATTGCAGTTGGCAAATTGTAGTTGGGCCAACGTTGGCCCGTCGTTGGCTGCCACTAATACCAGGAAGCCACCTATCGATAAATCAGTGCAAAAATGCAGTTGGCAAATTGTAGTTGGGCCAACGTTGGACCATCGTTGGCTGCCGCTAACACCAGGAAGCCACTTATCCATAAATCAGTGCAAATGCTTTGCTTAAAAATAGAAGAAAAACATACCAGCAGTCATTAAAAAAATTAAGGTAAATTTTATAAAATATTTTCTTTCAAAATTATCTGATAATGTTGTTTAACTCAGAAATATGGATTTTCGCCTTGTAATACAGTTGAAACCACTTATAAGGCTACCAAATATATTTAGTATGGAAAAACAAGCCACCATATTTTATTGATGTAGATAGGATATTATATGTGAACACATTTACAATAAAAGTATCGAATGCCCAGATATCACAAAGATGTCGGGCCAACGTCACTACTGGTGCCCATTGGGTGGCATGATCGCAGTTGGCCCATTGTGGGCTGCCGCTAACACCAAGGAGCCAACAATGGCTGTACAAAAAAGTAAACTGTGTCAATGGTGGGCCAACGATGGGCCAACATTGGTTCTTTGGTGGCTGCCAACGTTGGACCAACGTTGGCTGGCTGGACACGCCAATGTTGGGCCAACGATGGACCAACATTGGGCCAACGATGGACCAACGTTGGTTCTTTGGTGGCTGCCAACGTTGGACCAACGTTGGCTGGCTGGACACGCCAACGTTGGGCCAACGATGGGCCAACGTTGGTTCTTTGGTGGCTGCCAACGTTGGACCAACGTTGGCTGGCTGGACACGCCAACGTTGGGCCAACGTTGGCAGCCACTGTTGGCCCACTGGCTGGCATGCTGTTGGCCCAACGTCGTTGTGCTATCTGGGAATTATCCCTGAAAATTTGAAGGTGATATCTGTAGCGGTTTTGGAGAAAACTGACGGACGCGCCTAGGCCGACAATATGGCCCCACACTATGTGGTGGGGACATAAAAAGTTGATCCTCCCCCAATGAACTTGACATTCCTTCCTCTAAAATCTGTAATGACTTCTATATTCATTGCACACAAATTAATTCTTTTTTCAGAAATTAAAATAGGAGGATTACTTCTTCCATCATCATCTTAGTACTTACACTATCCCTTCCTTTCTTTAAATCATGGGCATTCAAAAGATAGCTATTGAAAGCCCATGCTTAAATGAAAACAATTCTACAAATGTTTTGTTGAATAAGTTTAATTTATTTTATTGCATTCATACAATGTTAAGTAAGCATTACAGCTAGAACATGAAATTGTATAAAATCTTCATGTTTCAGGAATTCACAAAATATGACTAGATAATATAATGATGATTAGATTGCATTTGACTCTTTATAAATAATATCTTTAAATTACACACAATGGTTTTATATCAGCATAAGCTCATCATTGTAGTCGATACATGTACATCATAGAAGTCAACATAGACTTAGGGTGACATCTATCTATAGTATTATTATTTTTGTATAGCCACAGACCAAGGAGGATTGGCTCCCAGGGACACAACTTGATATTTTTCAACCATGAAAATGTCAAAATGTCTTTATTTTCTGACATTTTAACTGACTATAAATCCAAGTCCAAAAAATTTGAACCAATATCTGGATCACTTCTTGAGTGTTTTAGAATTTTTGTTTGGAAATAAGACCAAAACTTGCTATTCAAAATTAAGTGAATGAAATAGAGGCTGTTTGAATTCAAATTTTGTACTTTTTTCACAATTTACTGATTTTACACCTTGTATTTTGCACAGTCTTCATAGTCCATGATCCAATGATAAATTGATTCTGATGGATACATAGAAAGACACATGTACAAGAATGTAGAAGGAAAGCCCCTTTAATCATGTAATGCCAAAATGGCGGCTGTTTGAATTCGAATTTTGGAATTTTTAAAAAAATTACTGATATGACCTTATATTTTTCGCAGGATACATAGAAAGAAACATGTAGAAAGCCATAGAAGCAGACCCCTTTAATCATTTGATGACTAATATATTTTCAGGTTCACCCACTTTGTTGATATCTTAACTGAAGAAGAAACTGAAGAAGTTATGAAGGAAAAGAGACACAAGGAAAAGGTATAAACTAAAATTAAATAGCCACAAATATTTAAAATTGAGCAAATCCGTCAAATTAAGTAGCATCAAAATAAGTGTATCTACAGTACTATTTAGCTTTTTAAAAATGCTCAAAATTTAGCAAATCATCTTAAAACATAAAGATAAAATAATAAACTTTCTTGTTATAGATGTTCAAGATTCTTGAGGATCGGGACAATGAACTAATGCAGATACGAGATGGTAAACTTGAATCAAAAAGAAAACCAAAAAAGACCAAGAAAACGAAGAATGAAGCATTCAATAAGTACATGAAAATTTTCTACAACAGACCCGATCTGAAGGTAAGAATAAGAAAAATAATGCCTCTGAGTAACATTTGAACTACGGCAACCATACAGTAGCCGTAGCTTCCCAAAATCGAGAGAAATATGTAGTGTAAAATATAGGGATAAGGAATATGATGCCAATTTTCTCTATCGATTTTGTGAATCTAAGGCCATCGTAAACCCGTTGTAGAGTAAATGTGGCTGAGGATTGATACTAAATACAAGCAATCCATGTGAGGTTCATACTAACAGATCAACTTTTCAAGTCCTTGGTCACACTTTTTTCTAATTTTTTATGTTGTTCTTTCATTTTTCAGTCACTTTCATTGTAACATGTCTTGCTTGCTAAGTTAAATTAAAAGAAAGAACTAAATCATTGAGTCCTCCTTTCTGCAAGGATTCCTGTTATACATAAATTTGAACTGGAGGAGCCTGATTGTATGTAGATATTAATTTATGTGCCCAAGGAGAGGCTCAATGTTCAATGGTTGGTGATCAACAGTTGGAGTCTGTAACAAATGGTGGGTGGTGGCATTTTGCATGTTAAATCCTTGTATTTTGTTATACTGTTTGAAAACTCAAGTGTTACGGAGCTAATAGGCTAAGCATATCATTCACTGTCATCAACATCATCACCATCGTCATCATTTTCATCAGTAGAAGTAGTAGTAGTGGTATCACTGTCTGTGTCACTCTTAACACGTTTGCGTTTACGTGTAGGTTTCTTGGTGCTCTTTGAAGTATTTCTCCTTGTGTAATTGTCTCGCTTATTTTTCTGAAATGTTCATTACATTACACTTTAATATAAATGTACTTTGAAATTGAAATCGGATTTCTAAATGTTTAGCAAGGTCATATTATCAATGAAATTACTTCTTATTTTGACTTATTATTGTTAATAATATATGGTTACATTTCAAAAATGATAATAATATAACAATAATTAGTAATAAAAGTTCAATCTAGTCCAAGATGTGAGAATAAGATGTCAAAATCTCAACCCCTGAGGCAATATCCTGTGTCAAATTCCTGACCTTTATATCTCTAAGGTTTAGGATAGTCTTGCATTAAGCCCTTGTGTACATCCCCATCCTTTCGCCCTTTCATACTGGATGGGATAAAGTAAACAGGACTATAGCCAGGATTTGCCAAGGGGTTTCACTTTTTAAAAAATCCAGGGGGGGTTGACTTGTGACAATTTTGGTCCAAAAATGGCCAAAATCACTTAAAAATGCTCAGAATGGTGAAAAATGCATGATTTTAAAATATTTTTTGGCCAGGGGGGGGGGGGTTTGCTCAAAGCCATCGAACCCCCCCCCCTGGCTATGGTCCTGGTAAACAATTTGTAACTTACTAATTTTCCAGTCGGTTCAATTCCATGCTTTTCCTTCATGTGCACTGTGAGCGGATATTTCTGACTGTACGATAAGCCACACTGTTCACATTTAAATGCCTTCAATTTTTCATGTACATTCTGCTTGTGGCGCTTTAGTGCAGGTCCTTGAGTGAATGTCTTGTCACATAGGTCACATTTAAAATCCCTCTTGCCTGAAATAGTTCATTTCTTTAGCAAATGGTATTTACATTCATCATAAGAAAATATAAAACAAGATCAATCCAAAAGATAAGGGATCTAATAATAAGGGATTTAATAATTGGCCATCATCGTTTTTTATTATCGGCAAATCAGCAAAGGTTATTTTTACCTGAATGGATTACCATGTGTCTCATTAAAGGTGAACGAGAGTTAAATGTTGCTCCACACTTTTCACAAGCATATTTCCTCTCGTTGTTGTGGAACAGCTTATGTTGAGTATGGCTTGTGTGTGTTCTAAATTTCTTTCCACATAAATCACATTGAAAACGCATTTCACCAGTATGAATCGTCATATGAATGTCAAGACCTGTAAAATATTCACATTAGTGTGAGGACAAGGAGGATTGGATCCAAGAATGCAATTCCGATATTCTGCCATATACGGTGTCATGACCTCATCATTGCTATGTACAAAATTCAAACAGTCGCGATTTATCAATCTTTGGTTTTATTACCTAACAAAAAAAAATTAAACACACAAGAAGTGATCAAGATATTAGTTCAAATACTGTATTCCTGGTAAATTTTGACGCTATAAAATTTGGCGATTTTTCAAAATTGCAATTTCGCAGCTATTTAATTTCGCTGATTTGAGTTGATGACATTTCGCGGATTGCACAAGTTGAACGTTTAGGGCATTTATTTGAATATTCTTGAATGTATTTTTCAACTTCAATTTGTAGGATATCATTGTCGTCAACAGTTCTTGCCTTTGTTGGCCTAATAAGCCAATTCAAAATGTTAGACATTTAACCGAGGCCTTTTTTATCGCCCAACAACACTGGACGAAACGTTTTAAACCGAACGGAACATATCAAAAGTCCCGGGGATTTAAAAGACAAATTTCGCGACGATAAATGTTCGCGATTTTTCTATGTTTTTGACCACTGATTATGACTTAATGAGATAAAGTCAGACAATAATCATGCTTGCTTTGTTTGAAAATATTGATGTTGCATTCTGGCTGCCGATCCTCCTAGTGTGGGAACAAAAAGCGAAAGCAGTATTTCAAAACCCAGTATGAAACAAACAATTGTGAAACCAATCACAAGGAAACAAATCCCAAGTATCCCAAACTATGATTGAATGTTCTTATCACCCCCTTCCCCCACCTTTCAGAAACCATTATGACAATCTGAAGATTTGGAGACACTTTATCCCTCCTAAAGTCATAACAACAATTAAGGAATAAAGACTATGATTCTAGATTTTATGGCGCAATATATAACCGAAGATTTTACTCTGTTCATTGTTAAAAGACTGAAGCCATGGAGCGATTGAGGTCTTCAGCAATGACCTGAATAAAATCTGAGGTCAGATATTTGCCATAAATAAGAGGATCGAAGTCTTTGTTTGTCTTTTATTATAATATAATATACAAACCAGAAGAATAACTACCATATTTTCATTTATGAAAGCAAGCAGTCATACATGTGCCATTATAGACCAATAAATCACTAGTTATTATCACATATATATTAGAATACATATTATTGATTAAGAAAAGATTTTAATAACTGAGTCGGAACTTACGGTCTTTCGAGGGGCATTTCCTTCCACATACATCACAAGTATAATCTGCAATACCATGGGCTGTGAACAAATGATCTTTAAAACGTCTACCCAAATTTTTTGTTGGTTCTCCATTTGTTTTGCCAATAACCTTTCCGCAGTATTCACATGTTCTGGTATCATCTAATTTCTTTCGGCTTCTTCTTGAAGGAATTAACATACATTTCTTAAGATGGTCCCTCATTTTCGCAGGAAATAATTTGTTGCACATTGGACAAGGTTGCGAGGCTTTACCTACACTAAAATTGCCCCTTTTCTTGCATTTTCTTAAGTGTTTAAAAAGAAGACTTGATGGCATTATATCTTTGCAGAATCCACACATATGTGTAGGGTTACAAAAATTATTGTGATAACGTGAATCTTCAGATTGATTAAAAGTTTTATTGCAGCCATAACACTTGCGTTTGACCTCTAGCTTACACGCATAGTTGGAGTTGTGGTTGTTTTTGCGATGAGATTTCATCTCATCTTGGCTATCACTTGTAAACCTATAACAATGTCTGCACACCGCAGTGTTAGCATCACAGTATGTCTCATGGTGCTTCAATGATGCTTCTGATAGGTATTCCTTCTCTTTGCAAAACTTACATTTAAATTGAGCGGTCGAAAACTTTTTTGCGATAGCGATTTCCTCATCTATGGCATCAACATCTCTCTTAAGATTGCCATGCAAGTGGATTAAGAAATGTTCATATGACTCTAGTGTTCTGTAACAAGTATTGCAGTCAAGTGTGAAAGAACCCTTATCATTTGTGGGTTTCTTTGTGGTTTTCCCATCAATATAAACCTTTATCTCCTCAGGGACCTGTCCATTATATTTGGTCGCATATTTAATATTGGTACTTGTCTGTGTGTACTCATTACTGTTCATATCCTCATTATCTGAGTCAGTTCCTGTATCATCAGTTTCAACATAAGTTTGATCTGTGGTATCATTATCAACATCTTCAATTTCATCTGAAACATCACTGTCCATTTCTTTATCATTTTGTAGGGAATTTGTCTGATGAATTCTGTTTGCTTCATCCTCTTGTGTATCATCACTTGGTATTGGCCTATTTTGTTCATTGGTTTTATCGTCATTGATAACAGTTTTTGTCTTAGTTCTCTCTTTTGTGGAGGGAGTAAAAGGTTCAGAATTCCCTCTATCTTGTTCAAAGTGCGGTTTCGCCCTGTTGACCATACATGTACTTTCATTTGAGTTTGACGCACTATTTTCAAGATTTTCCACATTGTTATTGGAATCATCAGACTCTGACTCAACCTTTATACATACAAGTTCAGGTTCTGGGTTGAAAAGTTCAAACTGGCCATGTCGTTCTAAGATGCTTAACTTCTCTTCATTCGCGGGTAGTCCATGTGTGCCTAACTGTACATAGTTAGGTAGCGATCCATGTGTATCTGACTGTACATTACTAGCTGGCTGTCTATGTGTAGATGACTTTGTACCTAACTTCACATAGGTAGGTTGCTGTCTATGTGTATCTGACTGTATATAACTAGCAGACTGTCTATGCGTAGCTGACTTTGTACCTAACTCCACATAAGTTGGTTGCTGTGTAGCTGACTGTCTATGCATAGCTAACATTGTACCTAGCTCTTCATAGCTAGGTGGCTGCCTATGGGTAGCCGATTGTATACGACTAGCTGACTGTCTATGCATAGCTGACTTTGAAAGACTTGAAATGAACATTCTTTTGTAGTCTGGGTGTACAAGGTTATCTACTTGTCTATTATTAACTGACTCTATCTTTTTATTCTTTGTAGAATTTGGTATATTTTTCTTCAGGCCCATTCTTTTCATCTCGCTCCACTTACATGTTTTCCTAACTTCATCCTCTAGTGAAAAACTGTCATCAGATTCATTACCATCTTCATCACTACCTGAGTCAGAATCATGTCCAGCCTCTATGTCTCTCTTACTGTGTAGGGAAATCACATGAGCTTGAAGTTTCTTGGATCTGTTGAATGATTTTGCACAAATGGGACATGTATATGTTGGAGTATCAGTAGTCTGTTTTGGTGATGCGATATCCACATTATTTGATAAAGGTTCCTTCTTGGAATGTAAAGGATTGTCAGCAGTAGCTTTTGAAAGTGCTTTATCTACATCATTAAACATATGCTCTTCTTTTTTTGGATGTAATACTTCTGGAATCAAATTGATTTTGGATTCAACTAAGTCCCAGCTTCGATTTCTGCCATTTTGTCTTTTTGATTGACTGGTTGTCAGTTTTTTAATGGTTTCGATCGCAAGCGCAGAGAAATTGTCCACATCATCAATACGGGCTAAACGTACTCGAGGCTCTTTCCAAGTGTTTATAATTTCCAACCAATCAGTGAGCTTTGTAACACTGATAGAATCTCTATGGTGATACTGATCCATGTTCTCTTGGCTGGTCAGAGATTGTCAATACTGAAAAAAATCATAAAACGTAATTTGGTTAAAGTGGCATGGCATAAGGATAAACTCTAAATGAAGACATAAATTGTTTGAGCTCAGTTATGAAATTAAAATGCGAAGCCAGAAATAAAAAATATGAAGCCATGGATATCTTATCTTTGTATCCTGCAGTTATTGCTGAAAAAATTTGAATTAAGTTTTAAATGAATCTTCAGAAAATTTAAATTTTTTTAAACTTTGGAACTTTAGAAGTTAGAATTCCCCTAGAACATTATTGGATACTGTACTTCTACTTAATTTTGCAGCCGTTTCAATTCGCCAAATTGTTAAGTCTATCTAATAAGTCGCTGCCAAATTCCCCAATAATTTAAGTAGCATATAAATTGGTACCATTGAATCATATCCATTTATCCCAAAAATATAATGAATGATATAATCTAGAAAATGGTAGAAATTTTTGCAAATATCTCAAGACCTTATCTTATCTATCTCATAGCTATTTATCAAAAATGTTTATCAAATCTAAAAATAAGCAATCAAGACCACAGAACAATACTATATGGATTACTACATTCATATTATAAATGCATTTGTTTGTATAATGGATTGTTTGTGAATTGGCTTATAAAATGTGTGGCCTCATATTTTAATGCTTCTCTGCCCTGGAAGTTACATGACCAGGCCATCCAACTGTCCCGCAATTTGGGTATTTGTCACGCATTTGCTGGAAAATTTGAAGTCACGCCAGTTTTTTTTGTGTGATAGAATATGTCACACGCATTTTACCTAATTATTGTCAAGCAAAAATATTCCCATAGAAAAACTTCAAAAAACTGATCGCTGGTACAGCACAAAACCGAACGCCAAAAAAACGAATGCATTTTGTTCAGACTTTTCATGCGGATACCGTATAAAAAATTTCATACCTTATTTATCTGAAATAAAAAAACATTTTGCATGTACAATTTGAATGTATTCTTTCATATAATATTGCTCTGTGGTCTTTTGATTGCTTATTTTATTGATGGAGAAAAATTGAAATGGAGGCTTTAGGCCACTGATTTTTCTCCTGTCTTATATGGGGCCTTATATATTTATAGGTATTTACAAACTCTCAACTTAAAGCTACAGTAACATTTTAAATGTTTGTGAGTACTTTGACTTTAAAAAATAAGCAATCAAATGACCAAATTGAAACAGTTTATGTAAAAATAGAAACATTTATATTTATCATAACTTTTGTATATTTTAATTTGTTTTGTAGTTTAGCTATCATATCTGTGTCCTCTTATATTTTTATACTTCTCTGCCATGTTATTTTCGGAAAAATTAACATGGCTGAAACTCCCTAAATTACAAAAGGCCACAGCTTTGCTGCACATTATACATTACTATCTGAAATATACAAAAGTAGGATAAATATAAATGTTTCTATTTTTACATAAACTGTTTCAATATGGCCATTTGATTGCTTCATTTTTTAAATTCAAAGTACTCACAAACATTTAAAATTTTACTATCTGTCCACTCTTTTTGCAAAAATGACATTGTAGACTATGTGTAGAATCAGTAATATATTCCTGAAAATGACACAGTTCAAGTTACTGCAATTTGGAAGCCAATAAAAATTATTTCAAAATTATTCACAAGTGAAAACTGATCAGTTTTAGTTTGATATATTTTGTACAACTACATTTCTCACCTGTATATAGCATTTACCATCAGCTATTATTGGATTGTACCATATTTTTATACAATTTTATCTTCTCAATAGAGCCCAAAACATCTGTTACGTGAAATTTGTAAACTTTTTCATACTTTCTTATCAAATATGGCTGTGCCAACAAAGCAATGCATTATGGGGATGGCAATGCAACTTGGGTAACTTACAACCTGTTTTTGGAGGGAAATTTAAAAGTTTGGGTTTCTTTTAAAAGTAGGCATATTCACAGGCCATTTTAGATTTTGTCAAATTTATTGATCAGTCTTTAATTGTTTTCATTAACCAATGCTCTTCTCTTTTACAGTTAATAAACTGGCAAAAGCATTTCCAACATATAACATTGTGTTGTTATCTCTAATCTTATTTAACTTTGAAATGTTTCCCAAGGCGAGGAGAGAACTATAGAACCCTTTTGACTACTTCTTTTTCTTTCATGTAAACCATTACAAATCATATCACATTTATACTGTAATACTATATCCATGGACTAAAAGATAAATAAATATCAGTAATATAAACATACCTTTAATGGTTACAAAGACCAATTAAATATTTCCATCATCCAACTTTATTCAAAGTTCTGATTGTTTTATATTATAAGAATATCTCTTGATGATAATTTTTTTCACTGTCTTGATAGTTTTTAGGAGTTTTTGATTGTTCATTTATTATGTATACAGTGGTATATATACAGGGTTGCTTAGGTGTCAATGTTTGGTCAAATCAAACTGTTAATTATTGGAATTTGCATCATGTACCAATGTTGTTTGATGGTTTCTTTGTTACTTGTATTATATTTTCATTTGTATTCATGTGTAATTAGCCTCTTTATGTTTTACTTTGTTTTCAATATGTCTTTTGACCTATGACTTGTTGTGTAAATATTTTATTATGTAGCAAAAACTAAGAATCTGAGAATGAATGAAAGAATAATGAATATTTTGATAAACTTGTATGCACACTGGTAATAATAATCACAGTAATTATAATGTTCAGAGAGAGGAAGTAAGAAATCATGTTTTGATGACATAACTTTTTAACATGACCAATTTTGCTGTATAGTTTTTTCCCTTTTGCATGTTTGATGGCTAATTTACTTATGTCACCACCACTTTGTGGTGGCAGTCAATGATTGGTGTTTGGTGGTCGGTGTTTGGCAACTGCAATAAATGGCAGGTGGTGACATTTTGCATTTTAGTGCCTTGTTATAATATCAATACTTCTTACACATCAGGCCCGTAGCCAGGGAGGGGGGTTCGATGGGTTCAAGCGAACCCGCCCCTGGCCAAAAATTCTTTCAAAATCATGTAGTTTTTCATCATTCTGAGCACATTTTAAGTGATTTTGAACATTTCTTGACTAAAATTGTCACAAGTGAACCCCCCTGGAAATTTTCAAAAAGTGAACCCCCCTTGGCAAAACCTGGCTACGGGCCTGCACATGATAGTGAAATTGCATGTAGTTGAATCATGTTAAAGCTTGACTGTGGCATTTCTTTCATTTCCAGGTGCCAAAAGAGGAGGAGTTCCCTGATGATGCATTAGAGCAGTTCATTCTAGAAAGAGATGGAGGAACAAAAGTTGAAGGTTTGTTTATGTTGAATGTTTAGATGTGGCAGTTGAAGTACATTTTGGGATGGACAGCATAATATTGTAAACATGTGATATATATTTGAACAGTTATCGAAGGTTGTCTCTTGTGCCAGGTTAAAATATTTCTTCTATCAAAAGACATATTATGTTTATTTGGTGGTGGGGGGGGGGGGGGGGTAAAAGTCTTGTTTTGTGACAACATTGTCACATTTCCCATGCCTTTGATATTTAATATGGGGCTGGACTGCTCACTAAAATTCTCAATTTAAAGCCAATGGTCTCCTCTACAAACACCAAATGTTTATCAATATAAGGGTAGAGTTGTTGTACATTGTTTTTTTATTCATAATATCAAATTTCAGGATATTGGGGTTTGTTGAATTACATTTCTGCTATATTGTTCTCTGATAGTAATATTTTTTTTTCTTTTCTTGCTGTCTGTTGAAATGCTCTTCGGTCATCTACCTTTTGACACTAGTGCTTACATATACAGTATATACATATACTTATATAATACACCTGTCTGCATTCCATTTATAGAAGAAGCACCATGGGAGCCAGAACGAGAACCAACGGGATTCTTTCCACCACCATCTAGCGCAATACGAACAGACACAGAACTTCTTGACCAATCAAATTTCTTAGATCCAAGCCGTGGCCCTACATTTTTAACAGAGCCCAAACAGTCATTTTTACTACCTGAGTTGCCCATTAAGGAACAGTCTGAGAGTGCATCACCAGCGCCACCTATGACACCAAAGCCTCAGTAAGTCAAAGATGTGTTGTCATGTTGAATACACAAAGTGGAAGAGAGTGAAAATAGTGGAATAAATATGTATAAAGTGAAAAACAGTGGAATTAGCATGTTCAAAACATGAAATAGAGTGAAAAACAGTGCAATTAGCATGTTTAAAACATGAAATAAAGTGAAAAACAGTGGAATTGGCTCATGCCAATTTAATTTTGCATGATCAAAAGAGCATACCAGAAGATTGTAGTAAAAACTACATGTAATTTGAAACTAGTTTTAAATGTTCCAACTGACACCTTATCATAAAAAAATATATCTGGACATCTGATACTCCTGGAGTGGCCTATATTCAGTCATTTCCTGTAAAATTGCATCCAAATTATTTAATGAATCTTTGCACAATTTAGTTAAGAATCTTAATAATTCATGTTTGTTTAGATTTGTTATCAACCCAAATGGCTTCATCCCTAACTCCATATTGGTGAAGTTACTATGGCCAGAGGAGGTAAAAGAAGACTTGGAAACATCAAGTGAATACCGACCCCCAAGTCTCACTGCTGAACAAATGGCGCAAATTGAAGGACTGAATAACAAGGTATGACAACTAATTAATTGTTTAGACTCAATATTAAACTACTTTACATTGATCTCGTATGTGTATGTGATCTGGGGTCTAATTTTGGAATGATTTTTACAATGATCTGCTTGTACATGCATAACATACAGAAAGGTTTTTGTAAGGGTCAGGTTCAATACATTGTTGTTAGGACTGAAACTGAATAAATTGCATTTGAGAGATTGAGGTTAAAAATCATTGTGTCTGTTTTCTTCAGAGATTTTTTAAAAGAAACTTAATTAGACTTAAATAAACTTTACATTTGAGAAAACAAAAGGGAGGGAGTTATTTTGGAATGTAATTGATAAAGCTTTGGGACACTTTCAAAATATCGACCTGAACCCTTGCTCAAAATCATCTCGCAATATTTTATTTAATGAGTGCAATTGTATTGAAGATTTATGTTTTTGTTAAGTCTCAAGAGGTGGATACATTTGAAGATGAAGAGAGCAGGGTATGTCAGGAAAGATTTTTTAACCAAACCCTCATTGTTGTTTTCTTGCAATGATTCTACCAGAATGTCACATGGCTATGTTTATTTCATGATAAAATCAAAACATGAAAAACTAAGAAAATTATTTTAAGGAAGACAGAATGAGTATAACTTAACTAAATTGACTTGATCCTTTCACATGTAAGCTTGCATACTGAAAAAGTTACCATACTAGACTGACTCACCTTAACTCGTCTCTTTATTTGGGAAAATATGAAATGAACATGGTCAAAGTGATATTCTAAAATTACCCTATAAATTATGATTATGCAATTGTTTTATTACTTCATTCCATTTTCAGATTTCCCAAATCTTAATAAATTTATTTTTTGCTTGTACAGCTTTCCTATATGTCCGCATGCAGATTTCCACCTTGTTCCATGTTTATGAGTGATGGAGGTCAATGGTCTCAGTCTCTGATTCTTATTCTCTGATTCGAAGAAAAATTAGTTTTATATTACTTTATTAATACATAGGATTTGGTCAATATAAAGATGGCAGCAGCAGTAGGAATCCTATTAACACTGATTGTTCTGACTGTACCTGCCATCTTTATTTAAAAATTATTTCTATCACCTTCTATTGACCTAATGATTTGGATCAAATATGATGCAAATGCAGACCATTGTGATTTCTTTCGTGTCATAGTAAGAGACTGAACCCTCTTAGTAATTATCATTGTATTTATTTTTGTTTAACCCCCAACCATCGGCTTTGTTTAAATTAAGAGGGTCCCAGCATTTTGCATGTTCGTTCCATATTTTGCATGTTTCTACCATATTTTGCATGTTTCTCCCATATGTTCCATGTTTCTCCCATATTTTGCATGTTTCTACCATATTTTGCATGTTTCTCCCATATTTTGCATGCTTACATGCTCCTTTAATTTAGACTGCAAGGATTATATTTTCCTGAAAATATAAATATTCTACAAAACATAGTTGTCAAATAATTCAGTGGGTCATTTCTGTAAGCATATCTTTAACTTTAACTGTAACTTTAAGAAAATCATAAGTCAGTGGTTGTTTACGTGTTACCATGGACACCATGACAGCATAGTGTGAGGACAAATAAGTAACTTATGATTTCATGAAGAATGCTCAGGAAAATGCACACCAGTTGTAGTAAAATGATTTTTTATAATTTTTATTTTATGGCTGTACTAACATTAATATGAAAAATATTTTTATTATTCAAGGAAAATATAGCGAATAATCCTTAACTGTTTCCATTCCACATTAATAATTTTGAACACAAATTCAAAATAACGTGAAAACAACAATTTTATTTGTTTAGCTCATGTTGAGTTTGTGTTCAGAAGATTAGCTGCATGATTATTGTTAACATTTACTTAATAGCTGCATGTTAATATTGAATAGCTGCATATTATTACTAAATAGCTGCATGTTTAAAGATGTATGTATAAATACATGTATGTAGCTATATGGTTTTAATAAATAGCTAAATGTAGTTACTAAATAACTACAATTAGGTAATTACAAAATAGCTGCATGGAATTATAAAACAACTGCATGAAATTACTAAAAAGCTGTATGTAATGTACAAAATATGTAATTACTAAATCGTTGTTTATAATTATAGCTATGTAAACTAATAAATAACTGCATGGTGTCACTATACAGCTGTCTGTATCAATCACTAGCTTAATGTTATTGTTAATATGTAGCTTAAGATTATTACTAATGTCTACCTTGCAGCAATTTCAAACCAGAGAATGGGGAAAGAATAAACGGAAAGGGGTAAAATCACCTATTGAAATATCACACTTACCTTGTTTTAAACCTAATTCCCATACTCCTTATATAGTTAAGATGATTTTCTGTGTGATAAGGAACCCACCTCTTTTCAGTTAATTAACTTTTCTAAAAATCATAACTTTTTCTTAAAGTCCTTTTGGTACGTTAAATTGGTTTTCTGTGTTGAATACTTTCTTGAGAAACTCCCTTAACTCCTTAACTCCTGTACATGTACTTGTTTGTATATTCCCTGTATAGGATAACTTTGAATAACTCTATTATGGGATAACTCCTTCCTAATCCTAATACCCTCTATACCTAGTGTAAAAAAACTTGCAGAATAACTCCCTATATGGGATAATATTGTTTTGGGATAACTTCTGTCTATGAACCCCCTTATTTAATAACTCTTGAAATGGTTCAATCCCATATTAAATGAAATGATTTGACTTTTTGAAACCTTTTTGATGTGTGCTTATCATACTTTTGGTGAGGTTGTCTAACATTTACATTAACAGTGTATTTGTTTAAATTACAGATGATATATACACACAAAAATGTTTTATTGGTAAATTTAATAAAGGATTGTGTACTTTATGATAACTATCGAATATATCAAATATAAAACATATATAATATAAGCTCCAGGATTTGAAGTTCCAAATTCTGTATTTTATGCAACAATTTAAAATGTTACTCCAACTCTTTTAGATCATAACTAAGCCTGTTGAACCCTATTGTAGTCTAGAAAGTAATATAATTATCCCAGGGCAATTTACATTACATCAAAAGATCAATGTCTGATAGAAAACTAAATAAATCTAGTTTGGGGGAGGGGATCAAAGCTATTTCAGTTTGCTATCCGACAAATTTCAACATTGACTTTTTTTGCAATTTCGATTCGAAATGCTACCCTTCACCAAGATGCATGCAACATGGAATATTACGCCTATTGTTCACCCTGGGTATAGTCTGTCACGTGACTTCATGGATGACGTGTGCGCGAGTGATTCGCATTTTCTTTCGCTTGAGGTTTGTAATCACACTTTTTACATGTTTTAAGATTTTGTATCTCTGTGAAACTTGTCCCGTACCATCAATGTCTGAAGACGATCTAATTCACCAAATATCTCATCCAAGCGAGTCCCGGTTAAAGAGAAATTCGCACTTTTGTGTCTCGCAAAATGACGTGTGCGCGAGTAAATCGAATTTTACGAAGGATGGGTGCGCGAGTCTAAAATATTTTTATTCACTTGAGACAATTCTGCAAGCTAAGGCAGAATACAACTCACGTGACATTTGTTTTTGTCATCTTAAAGTAGTATGTTAAAGAATAGTTTGCTATTTTGTAGATGTTTCATGTATGGCACATACATGTCTACGTTTAATGACAATAAATGTTTTGAAATAGCTTGTAGGGCTGTCCGGCATTGCAGGTGAATTAAAATTTGAACCAAAAATTGAATTAAATTTTTGGCGGTCTCATAAAACCGGCAGCATATTCATTTATTGACATCCCATACAAAGGGGGGGGGTCAGAGTTGTTATGTGGTTACTCGGCATCCGCCACGATCAGAACCATGTAAGGAATAGTAAGGGGAAGCCCATGATACCAAGTAATATCAAATAATTATAGGAGCCCCCACCCCTCTGGTGCCCCCCCTTGACCCCCCCCCAAAAAAAAAAATTGTGATTTTCTCAAATTCTTTAATTGACTCATACACTTTGAAAGTGCCCAGAAAGCACCAAATAGCATCTTAAAATTGTAAACATTTCTTGGGAAATAGGCACTTTTAGGCACAGACACTTTTAAAGTGCCCAAACTTCATCGAATAGCACCATGATATTGTAAATTTTGATATGGGGGACAAACACTTGCTCCCCCTCTGGCACCCCAGCCCCACCTCCCCCTTTTGCACCCCTCCCCCCTTTGACACCCTCAAAATTTGAAAAAAATTGTGATTGTTTTTCAATGATTTTATTGACTAATACACTTTAAAAGTGCCCAGAAGCACCAAATATTATCTTTAAATTGTAAAATTTTCTAGGAGAGTTAGCCACCCCTCACATCCCCCACAAAACAAAAGAAAATATTCTGAATTTCATGTATTGTGTCAGACATTTTTTAAAAGCACCAAATAGCATCTCAAAACTGTAAAATTTTCGAGGGGGAGTGGACCACTCCTCACACCCCCCACAAAACAATTGGAACGTTTGGAAGTTGCATTTGTTAATTCCAAACCAATATAGGGAGTAACTGACCCCCCCCCCCCCTCTGTCTTACGCGATTTGATTTACGCGGCAAAAAATGACAATTTTACATTCTCTTTAGTAAGCTAAAAACCGCACCCCCCTTGGAGAAAAGTGTCTTACGGGCCTGTGTAACAAAATCAATATTGTGTCTAGCTTGCAGAATTGTTTAAAATGAATATAAATATGTTAGACTCGCGCACCCATCCTTCGTAAAATTCGATTTACTCGCGCACACGTCATTTTGCGAGACACAAAAGTGCGAATTTCTCTTTAACCGGGACACGCTTGGATGAGATATTTGGTGAATTAGATCGTCTTCAGACATTGATGGTACGGGACAAGTTTCACAGAGATACAAAATCTTAAAACATGTAAAAAGTGTGATTACAAACCTCAAGCGAGAGAAAATGCGAATCACTCGCGCACACGTCATCCATGAAGTCACGTGACAGACTATACCCAGGGTGTTGTTGTTGGCACATGTTTTAAGAATCATAAATAAGTTATAGTACTGCCACCATGAAAGTCCAAATTGAGTCGCTAAAACATGTGAAAAGTCCGCGATCAACTTTCATTGTATTTAGTTTTGAGGGGGAGGGGGTCCAACTCAAAACTAGATTTATTTAGTTTCCTATCAGACATTGAACTTTTGATGCCTCCCCTTAGGATACTTGTCTTCCTGTAGGCACTTGACCTCTTAATTTTGTAGATAGTTTCTCAACCCCATGTAGTTTCTTAAGCCCAATTTAGATTCTCAATCCTCGTAATTTTTCAGACCCAGTCATCTATGGAGCGAGTTGGAACTGCAGGAACTGAGGCGGTAATTTACTGCGAGATGTTACGAATTAACATGTTTTGCCTTGAAATAGAGTATATAATACATTTTGCAATAAATGTACAAATTAAATCTTTCACTTTGATGCATGACCCTGTCACTCTCTTGTTTGAAACCATTTTGTGAAACAATTTTATTGTCTTGGATATTTGCGTGTGCAGCTTGATTTAATAAGCATAAATGTCCCAGAATCTGTGATCTCCAAGACGATGGTCACTGCTCCCACTCATATTTCCCATAATGCAATATAGACTGCAAACAAGATCAGTCGAACCTGTGTACTAATAGCCCATATATCAGTGATTTTATGTGAATTCATGACAATTTATTCATTTATTATGTGTTGCTTCCCTTAACAGTTTATTTATATTTATGTTTTGGTTGTCTCATATGTATTCAATCTGCTTGTTTTATTTTTATTTCTAACATGTTTGTGTTGATTTTGAGTTGTTTTTATTTTTATGTTTTACTTTATAAGTGTTGTGTTTTATTTTATGTATAACTTCTTAATGCATCATTCCTGTTGAAATTGAGATGAAAAAAAGAACGAACCAATTTATTTTGCTATATTTTATTTATTTATTCCTCAGACTGTTTTTCCAAGTTTTAATCATTTTAGTATTTAGTCTTGTTTTTTGCATTTTGTCATTTTTATTTAACTGCAATATGTATGTTTTTATTTCAATACATCCCCTTCATACATTGAGCATTTGAGAACATGAAAGTTGGGTGTCAAGCCCACGCTTTTCCCTTAACTTCAATCGTTGTACCTTTCAGTCTGACAGCCACATTTTGAGTTTGTCTGGCATTAAGTCATCACCTTACTCCCCCCACAACTTTGTACCTTTCAGTCTGAGGGGCCACAGCATCAGGATTTAAGTCCACTCCTTAGCCCCCATCCCCTGCCATAAACAATTATATACTTGCGAGGGTCTCAATAAATTAGTTGGGGAGCATCTCATGATTGTTGCTGTATCTTTCAGAGTGGAGCCTCAAGCAAGTGGGATGACCAGGCAAAAGTTCTGGATTATGCAGATTCCGAAGCTGAAGAACCAGAAAATTTGGAACCTCCAAAATCAGCCTTCTTGGACAAGATACAAGATGTATTGGACCGGCCTCCAACTCCCAAGGTGTGTGTTGTTGTTTTTGTCGTTGTTTTCATTGAAGTTGAAGAACCAATCCAATGTCTTCCAATGGAGCTCTAAAGGAGAAATGATTTTAATTCATCTTCTGAAGCTTTAAAAGAAATGTCTTCAAAATTTTTCCCAAAAGGACGATTCTCGGTTTGGAGAACGAAGTTCATCAATCTAAATGAGCATTATCCCTACTTCGGACAAATTTGATTTTTTTACATAATATAGATATGAATGTCCTCTTTTGAATAGTCATAATTTAATTTGGGTGATATTTCTAGATTTTTCGCATAAAAAATATTAGCGCAGTACACTGATGAACTTCTTTCCCCAAATCAAGACTTGTATTTTATTGAATCGGTCTAATTGAGCGTTATCCCTGCTTCAGACCAATTTGTTTTTTTTACATCTTGTAGATTTAAATGTCCTCTTTTGAATATTCATAGTTTAATTTGGGTAATATTTCTATATTTTTCATGAAAAAAATTATTAGCCCAGGAGACTGTTCTCCAAACCGAGAATCGTCCTTTGCTTGTTAAGTTTTGCCTCTTGACTAAGCGTTTTGTCGGTTGACTATCTAAGGAAATGTCTGAAGTGGTTCAACAATTTACTTTCTAAAAACCACATTTTGGACAAAATGTTTTACAAAATTTGCTCGTTAAGTTTTGCCTCTTGCTAAGAGTTGACTAAGAGTTTTGCCTCTTGACTCAAGGAGGTTCAACATTTAACTGAGTGTTCAACAAAATACTTTCAGAGTGAGCCAGAAAGTCCAGTTCCTCAGCCAGTAGACAAAAGTTTGGGAACCAATACCCCAAGACCTCCACCCTCACCCCCTAAGGCACCCAGGGGACCTGCCAAGAAACCAATGAAACCAATCGTGAAGTATGTAGCAGCTGTACCACCCCCTAGAGAACGAACCCCTACCCCACCCCCTACACCTCTCCCAGAGTTCATATCTAAATGGATGGGGGAAGAGTGGTTCGAGAAATACTTTCCCAATGCCAATAGCAATGTAAGTACATTTAACTGCGAGACAAAATTTTATTTTTATAATGCATATTTAATTTGTCTTTTTAAGCAATATTATTTCAGATTATGACAAATGATTTTGTATGTTGTCTGATTGTTTAACATTGCAGTTTAACCTTGATGCATTATGGGTAACACAATAACACAATTCACTGGATGTGTCATCTTCCTGTTCTTTACTTATAAAATGATTTAATATATGCAATGTTTGTTTACACTAATCAGATGGAAAAGGTATGTCTGCATGGTTTTTCTCTCTCTATGCATGAGAATTGTATATATTGTATAAATTGTACATATTGTATAAATTGTATGCATTGCATGAAACTCTCCTTTGTTGATTGCAAAGTTCCAATCAGATTTTCCAATCAATAAAGAAAAAGACAAAATTTAAACCTCCCTTGATCATTATTTTATGTCAAGATTCTTCTTATAGATTTATACTCTTACAGATATTACATGTATATCTGTTGTTCCTATATCAGTCTCATTCCTTTCTACTTTTCTAATATATTCACCCTGTATATGGTATATCTATATTTGTGCCCTTGATCCTTATTAATTAGTTAACTTCCCTCTAGCAATTACAGAGGATTTTACATTCTTGATCTTAATGATCTCAAATCAATGTTTTATGATTTTAGTGAAGTTTTAGATTGTAATTTGATGTTTGGTACTAAATGTTGTGGCATGATTTTCTGACTGCATATTATGACTGAGTAAAATTATTAGATTAGATTGAAAATTGTCCCCAATTCAAAGAACGTAGAAAAAGTCCAGATTTTACAAAACGTAATTATATTTACACCTGGATTTTGCTCCCTTACTTTTATAGCCATTTACAAGGTATGAATGCCTTATTTGGATTTTATTGTCAGTAAACTCTATACAGAATACTGTAAAATATGTACTCACTTTTGAGCCTCTTTAAAAAAATAATCTTAATAATTTTTTCATTTTAGTCTTTTATGAAATCCTTACAGATATTCCCAAACAAATGTATGCCCTAGAGATGAGGGGGGGGGGGCAGATACAATTAAATTGAGTTCAATTGAGTTTGATTCTAACTATAGTAGACTGGATATAGAAAAGGATTTGTCTCTAATCAAGGATGTCTATCTAGATAGACGTCCTTGTTCTAATTAATATCTAACAGTTACACTCAATGAACAATTTTTTTAATCATCTATTAATATTTTATTTGATTCTAATTGTTACTATTTCACTTTGTTTTAACACATTTTTTGTTCAACCCAGTAGAAATATATTTTCATCAAACACTGATCCATGATCTTTTTCTGTTATTAATTTTAGACAATGCCCAAGCCGTGGACCATCCAGGCATTCATCACAATGCTATTACGATTGGTTCGCATTGCCAGCTTCAAGCATAAATCAGACGTCGTCGAGGCGATCCTCCGCATAAACCAAGATTTTGGTGTGCCTAATAATGATGCAGTTTTACGAACTTTACTGAGTGTACTTAATCACCACACGCATCCGCCAACATGTGCAGTTCCTGAAGAGAAAATGTTCATTCTATCTGCAATTAAATGTATGCAGAGCATGGGAATATTTGATAAAGACTTCTGTACAGGACTCATGGTGGAATATATAGAGGGAGATAAAGATATAAGGTGAGAGATATCAAATTTATCCTGCCCTTTTTTGTGGGGAATTTCTGTTAGGTTACTTTTACCTCACATTTATGGATGCCTTTATACAGGGTGGTCAAAACATTCCAGAAATAGGTATGGTATTTTGGCATTGCTATTTTGTCAAAATATAAAATAAAACTTGTCAAACTCAACTCCAGTGGAAAATTCTGTGACAGATCCATCTATTGGAAAGGTGCCCTTTTAATAACTCTCATGATTAAACTGCAATGAAATTAAACTTCGATTTACAGATTATCTAACTGTATCATTAACATATCTATTTTCAGACAAATTGTTCGAGATGCATTTGCATTCAGCGGACTGAACGACCCTCACGATCATTTTGGGAGAGACATGGACTCATGGGATACTTGGAATGTATCAGAGGATAACCGCAAACCTGAAATTAAAAACATGTGTGAACTCTGGTTGGATAAGTAAGTTTTTACAAAATATGATATAGGTTTTCAAGAATGTATACTGCACTCCCGGTATTTTTAGCGTGAAATTTACTTTGTGCAATTCAGCATCATGACAAATGATTGTCGCAAAATTTACTAGCCTTATTAAATCCCCATGGGAAAATAACATTTGGTACACACGATTACTGTACATTTTTGAACCATTGTTTGTGCCATGGGGTGGCTTTTTAAAACTTCAGGTTGTCAAGGGTAACTTAAGTTTACAAAGCTTGATAATTCAGAGAATAATGAAATTTAAACTTAGCAGAATTTAATAACTGCTAAATTGTAATTTCTCAAATATTTCAAAATTAAATAACGTCAAAATATAAGTGGAGTTCAGTACTTATATGGCATAAAACCCTGCATCAGAATTAGCTAGTCACACCTCACTCTGAATGCTACAGTACATATCATTATACCATTTGATTAGTTTCAGCCTTATCTTAATGATCTTTAAATTAATGCTAATGGTCTTTTATGAGCGTTTGAATGTAAAGTGATTGTCAACTACTTATAGGTAGAAAATGTGGTGTAGCGTGTAATGACTGATGATTAAAATAATGAAAACTTTTGGTGATAAATATTTCTCATATGACTAACCAAGATAGAGTCATCTCGATAAAGAAGAATTATCAAAGCTCGTCAAGGACGGACGATCTTGCCCAGGTACTCATATAAGAACGTCTATTTCCAGATGGCTTGCCACATTTAAGATCCACCTAGAGGACAGCATTGAGAGATTGAAGAAGGGACAGTCTGTACATGGCAATGTCAACAAACTGAGAAAAAATATGGGGGTATGGTGATTCAAAACCTATGAAAAACTGTTACTTGTTTGTTAAGGACACACATGTTCTTTCTTAAAGGACACACATTTAAAAAAACACATTACTGGGACTCACATTTTTCTAGACCTAGATGTAACTAATGATTGTTGTTTGCAAAAGTACACACTAGAAAATTCAAATATTTGATTTTTGTGATTTTTATGATAATTAGTTATTAGTAGTATGCTATGGTGAAAACAGTACAGTTACACATGTAGTATTAATTTTGATTATTATATGATATTCTTGATTTTTCAGGATGGGGAAGCAAAATCTTTGTCAACCAGTGAGTTTCTTTCAATTATTAATATTAGTGTAAAGTTTAATATTACCATGAATGTTGCTATGGTACGTTCAAATTTTTGCAAGACTATGCGATTAAAAGTTGTTTAGACAGTCTGTCTATTTCAATAAAATATTGCTATATTGAAGATAGCGACGATGATGTATGAACTTACATGTAGTTAACTCCAAAATGAAATGTTTGGAAAAGTCCCCATTCTAAAACCAGTCAAACAAATATAAATAAATTTCATATTTCCTATTCCAGTGACCATAGACAAAGTGCCAAGTCATTCAATGATACAAAAAGCGACATTCATGGACGCTATAAACTATTTCTGTGAGATGGCCCTCCAGAAGGAAATAGAGCAAATGTATAAAGAGCGCAACCAGGACAAGGTTGTTAACTCTAAGAATACTGTATTAGTGTTGCCAAAGCTGAGCCTACATCCTCCATTAGTAAGACTAGGAGAACTACATACTAGTAAATGTAAACCTCATAGAGAGACTGCATATGCCATTGATAAAGGTAATGATTGGTCAGTTGTTATTATGTCACCACTTATAATTATGTCACCACCAAAAGTGGTGACATATTATTATAGTCTCCAACTTTTTTAGAGGCAGTGTTTGGTGGGTGGCATTTGTTGTTCGGCCAGTGGCTTTTGGTGTCTGTAATAAGTGGCAGATGGTTACATTTTGCATGTTAATGCCTTGTTTAAAATGTCCTTGTTTCAAGGCTGGCAGTGAGAGAAGGGATGGTGATTTATTATAGCAAGGGTCATAATTAAGGGACATTAAGGCAAATTACTAATATTATATTTTAAATTGTTATGGTTTTTGTCAAAGTGTGAATACTTTGGGGCAGATTGCTGGGCACTGCATGGATACATGGTTGGTGAAACAAAAGATTTTACAGCAAGATATTCCCCATTCATATCAAATACAAAAATTAATTAATTGATAAAAAGTCAATGCCCAAAATTAGCCAAACGGTGGCTAATGTGACAGCAGATTTAAATCAAATAGAAATGTTTGAATTCGTAAGATAGGGTTTAAAAATAGAGCTGAACTTTTAAAAATCCTATGTTCGTATGTAAGAAAATGTGAGAAACTGGAATATTGATTTACAAGTATTTATTTGTTTTTATTTCAGATTTTTCACTACCACCTATAACAAGTCGAGGACACCAACCACCAAAAGGTGTCGTTAGTGGTTTTGCTCCTGCCATCAATCTACCAATGAAGCAGGTCTATATCAACCCCTTCCCGAGCCCAGCGGATGTTTACCTACACCAAGAACCCATTTTACTGACGTTAAAATCATCGCAAAAATATTTCATTCCAGCCCAGTCATATATTAATGATTTTGAACAGTTCATTTAATCCAAAAGAGCGCATCCCAAAAATAATTTATCTCACCTTAGTTATGTGTGAATTAAGCCTCCTATAGGCCTATATACAATACATAGACACAGTTACTCCATTAGATGGCGCTTCATGTTTCTGAGTTAATTTCCAAAACAGGATAAAAAACAGAAAAAGTGGAACACCTCTAGGAGTGAACCACCTCCGTTACTCCGTTAGTGGAACACTTTTCAGAGTCCCAGTCAAGCCCAACTGACTTAATTAATGAACCTCTATAAGTGGAACACCTCCCAAGTGGAACACTTTTTAGAGGTACCAAATATGTTACTTAGACAGGTTTTACTGTACATGGATATTGTTAAAACTTTTTTAAAGGTAATACTGTTAGGATTGGAATTGGGTGAACATTTGAGGCTATTTGCATTTAGAACTCTAAAAAATGGAAGTCACTGAGGGATCATCAATGGCACGGAATGGAAAGTGTTCATTTCATTGATGCTCTTTCGTACTGTTGACATAATATTTTGGGTTCACTGTGATTTGTTTTAATTCAATAGAGAAAATAGAGTGAAATCATTGAAGTAAAGTGCCAAAAGTTACATTTTTCCTTTTTAGCACATTTTTTCTTTAGCATCTAAGCGGGCGGGCAATAATCATCAAAATTCCAGGAAAATTGCTTATCTATGTATTCAACTTGAAATTTCACAGATTTTACAGATGCAAAGACGGACTAGTACCAGGGTCTGAATATGATTTAGGCACACTTGGTAAATTAAATATTTATCACTGTTTTTGTACCTATTATTATTCTGTGAACAGACTTATCATTAAGGTCTAAAGCATTGAAGATTGATACTACAGGGTGACCCAAAAAAAATGCAACCCTCCATTTCTTCAATATTTTTCTTAAATGTAGGTTAATTGCTCTGAGATTTGGCACACAGGGACTTCATTCAATGTGGGATCCTCTGGCAAAGTTTTAATAATCATAGACTTATATTGATAGAGTTATGGTTGTTTCAAAATATGCTCCAGATGTCGTCAATTTCGCTGAAAACAAACTTGCAATGTTCAAGGAAAACTGTTCATAACACGGATGCATTCTTCCCCATGGGTATGGCTCAAATTTTTGCAGCCATTGCTTATTGGAGTTCTGCAATTGCGGTAGGGTTATTTTCATACACATTATCCTTTAAATAACCCGATATATAGAAGTCGGGGGCATTGAGATCAAGACTGTGGGATGACCATGGGTTCTCCGTCCTAGGAGAGATCATCTTCTCATAGAAATGACTAGTGAGCCAGGCTATGCTATCATCGGAAGTGTGAGGAGAAGCTCCATCTTTCTAGAAACACTGTTCTTGTCTATTGAAGCCTCTATACCCCTCTAGAACTGCCTAGAACTTCCTGGGAACGCAAATATTGTGCTGTGTGTTAACAGTAACAGTGTTGGCATTATCAACCTCAAACCAAAAGGGGCTGATGATTTCATGTTTGGAAATTGGCAGCCCAAGCTGTGCATTTAACAGAATGAAGGGGCCTTTGAAGCACTTCATCTGGAATTTGTGATCCTAGAACACATTATTTCTTTAGTTTACATGAACAGAAAGAAGGGAATGTGATTCATCTGAAAACCTAACATTGGAAATGGACGACATTTGGAGCATATTTTGGAACGACCATAGCTCTGTCAATATAAGACTATGGTTATTGAAACTTTGCCAGAGGATCCCACATTGAATGAAGTCCTTGTGTGCCAAATTTCAGAGCAATTAACCTCCATTTAAGAAAGAAATTGAAGAAATGGAGGGTTGCATTTTTTTGGGTCACCCTGTATAACCTAATAAACACCTGGGCCTAGAATTCATTAAGATTGCAATGAGAGAAAAGCTGAAATGACAACTCCATATTATTTTCCTTGTTGTTCATGTTTTCTCTTTTATACACTATTTATATACAAAATCCGTTCCATATAAAACTGTGATATGCTGTTTATCCATACAGTATATTTAAACTACATACTGTATGCACCTTCTACACATTCAGTTTCTAAATATATTTAGGGGAGTGTGATTGTAATATTGTAAAGGAATTTAATATATATTGTTAATTTTGATAAATCTGTACAACACACATTTACATGTACATTTTCATAATAAAATTTTATCAAACCAAACTTTCTTATGTGAATTATGAAATAAGAAACAATAGCTAGGGATAATCTATATAAATGCAATAGTCAAAATTATGTCTAATTAATCACTAATTGGACTGTATTGTTTCACGTTATTTACCTTATTACCTAATACTGTTAATTATCATTATTTATGAATAACTACTGTCTCTTGATCAGCTTTAATCATGTTGAATCATCAATATATTCTATACAATGCAGTAATACTGGATGAGCATAATGTAAAAGTGGTTTTGAAAAGTAGCAAATTTCTCTTTATGTAGGTTTTTTGTGGTTTATTATTCTACATTGATTCTGAAACTATTGGTGTCTAGTTTTTCAGCATTTTGGAAATATGCAGATTTATACCCCCTGGTGTTATTTTAAGAGGGGTCCTAGGAAAGCCATGTATAATTCCTAGAGTATCCAACCAATCATCTTGAAATTTACAGGTAATAATCTTCTTATCATGTCCTATCATTGTGAGCAGTTTCATCAATATTGGTTAACTGGTTGCTATGGTAACAGAAATCACTTGTTAAAAAAGTACACATTTTCGTAAAAATTTAAGACCTACCCTGAGACAAAGCACATAATATTTTTCTGGAATTGGGAGGAATTAGCATGAAAACATATTAGAAAACTTATTTAGAGTATGGTTGATAATACTAAATCAATTGATGTTTTATTTTAGCCATACAATTAATTATATTTGCCGATGATAATATGGCTATGCAAAAAATGTGTAAAAGGGGGCGTGGCACTTTTCCCAAGAAAACTTTATTTATACCCAAGTTTGTGAATAAATATATGACTATTCATTCTGATATTAACAGATATTAGTATAGTTATGATGTTTAACCATCATGGGAAGTTTCACTATTGTTGGTCTGCTGGTTGTTATGGTAACAGAAATCATTTGTTAAAAAAGATTGTATTTTCTTAAAAATCTAAGACATACCTTGACACAAAACACATACTATTTTTATGACAGTCAGGATGAGAACATTTTAGAAAATTTATTTAGAGTATGTTTCATAAAATTAAATCAATTGATGCTTTATCTTAGCCATACAAAGAATTCTACTTGCTGATGGTAAACTGGATTTGCAAAAAAATTAGAAAGGGGCCATGGCACAATTTCCTAAGAATTCTTTATTTGTGTTCAAAGTGAAAAAATAATGTCAGTTTTCCTTGATATCTACATTATTATCCCAACGAACGAAGTTCGGTAGGGATATAGTTAAGCCCTCCGTCCGTCCGTCCGTCCGTCAGTCTGTCATTTAGTCAGTCAGTCCGTCCGTCCATCCGGAAGATAACTCAAATATTAGTTGACGGATTTTCTTCATATTTGGTGGAAAGATGTATATTGATGAATAGTTTTACGCAAAAATTTTTTTTCAAGATGGCTGCCGCTTTAAAAATGACGGGACTATTTCACAAAAATCATAAATTTTTCATTCTAAACCAAAGTAATTAATATTATTGTTTGAAATTTATATTATTATATATAATTTATATATTTATATTCGCAACATCTATCTATTTCACATATATTCTGTGTTTTTCAGGAAAACAGAAATTTTCGCTAATTTTTAGATCTTTATGAAGTATAGCTTTATTATACTCAAATGAAAGGCAATTAAGAGTAGATTGCAACAAAGGTCATCTTTATAGCGAACAGAAAGTTTGTTCTTCAGGAAGAGCTGTTTATATTTGGGGTTATAGTCACTCAGATTGTTTTCCTTCATATGTGCCTGATACAGCTCATGGACATGTTCAAGTGTTTCAACTCCATCGGTTTGAAGGACATGTTCATCTATATGCTTACATATGAAGTCAAATGATGTTATTAAAACCTTTTCCTCTTCATTTATCGTTCGTACTTTCTTGCACAAGTAATTTCTTCTACAGGTATTATGGTACCAAGCTTCTGCTGATATCAAACAGCGTCCTCCTATTTTTGCATGTAAAGTCCAGTCTTCTTGGGCTTTCACTGCATTTATTATTGATGTTGAAGCGTTGTCTGTTTGGCATTTTGTTAATGATTCTTTTGTGTTTCCTTTGAGATATTTCAGATCTTTTTCACAAAAGAGGCACTTGTTTTGTTCAAAAAGGTTGCTTTGGCGTAATTTCTTACTATGACATCCTTCACCAATTGCTAGAGCAGAGGATCTTTTCCTCAAACTTCTCTCGGACATGATATATACGTAACAACACTAATACATTGATTTACAGGGTTCTACTCAGTTGCATGATATATGGAAAAAAGTATATATATTGGAAGGGCAACGCTCCACGATGCAATAATGGAAACTAAACGATGGTGTATTAAATCACCTACCTTAACTGAAACGTAAAAGTAAAAAATAAGGAATAACTGTGTATATAGCACAACTGCAACCGCAGCACACTATCTGGAACCACTGTCCAAAATCACACAGAGTCACTAAACTTTATCTGTATGCAGCACACATAAACAATGTGTATTAGATCACCTACCTTGACTTCACCCTAAAATTATAAAATAAAGAAAATAAAGAATGCCTCTGCATCTACACAGTTACGCAACCGCACCGCACTGTCTGGAACCACTGTCCAAAATCACTCGCAACTGCCCCGCAATCAGTTAGGCAACCGCACCGCACTGTTTGGAACCACTGTCCAAAATCACTCACCTGACTTAAATCACTCACCTGTCCACAATCACTCACCTCTATCTAGATGTAGCACAGCTTAACCGCACAACGTATATCTATTTCATCAGGTCTGCACAGCTAATCAAGAAGGCATGAACTGTGGTAATTGAAGCATAACATTGACAACAAAAGCTCATATCAACAACTGATTTATCATTGCATATACAACTTATTCCTAGGAATGCAGATTTAATTTGCCATCACATTAATGAAGTCTAAATTCTAATTGCAACATTTAATTAATGCTCTAAATTTGGTATTATTGTTATATCAAATAGGAATTATTAACTATTTTTATGAATAACATTATTTTCTATCTGGATATTAAGCATGACGGGAATCACTCAAACATGTATATTTCATAAAGATGTCAGGTTGATTTAAAAAGAAACAAATATATAGGTAAACATGTGAGTGAGTGATAAATTAGTATCATCCAGAATGAGATTAATGAATTTATTTAATATAAACAATAATTTATTTGATTTTGTTAAAATGCGTTTTCCTCAAAACTTCATTCCAAGATGCAAATTAAGCACACATAAATAAAATCACATTGATGACCTCACAAAGCCATGAATGTATATTTGAAGACAAAGTTTATATCCTTAATTAGATAATATACCCCATACCCCTTTAATGGTCAACTGTTTTAACAAATGATTTCTGTTACCATAACAACCAGCAGACCAACAATAGCGAAACTTCCCATGATGGTTAAACATCATAACTATACTAATATCTGTTAATATCAGAATGAATAGTCATATATTTATTCACAAACTTGGGTACAAATAAAGTTTTCTTGGGAAAAGTGCCACGCCCCCTTTTACACATTTTTTGCATAGCCATATTATCATCGGCAAATATAATTAATTGTATGGCTAAAATAAAACATCAATTGATTTAGTATTATCAACCATACTCTAAATAAGTTTTCTAATATGTTTTCATGCTAATTCCTCCCAATTCCAGGAAAATATTATGTGCTTTGTCTCAGGGTAGGTCTTAAATTTTTACGAAAATGTGTACTTTTTTAACAAGTGATTTCTGTTACCATAGCAACCAGCTAACCAATATTAATGGAACTGCTCACAATGATAGGACATGATAAGAAGATGATTACCTGTAAATTACAAGATGATTGGTTGGATACTCTAGGAATTATACATGGCTTTCCTAGGACCCCCCTTAAAATAACACCACGGGGGGTATAAATCTGCATATTTCCAAAACGCTGAAAAACTAGACACCAATAGTTTCAGAATCAATGTAGAATAATAAACCACAAAAAACCTACATAAAGAGAAATTTGCTACTTTTCAAAACCACTTTTACATTATGCTCATCCAGTATAACAGTTCTGTCTATTTTGTGACACCTTGTCTATATAGACCCATAGACAATTTCTTGTTGGTCATTTTTAAGTCCAAAATAAGTACACTGTTGCTCAGTCATATACTGAATACTCTGAATAATGTTCACAAAACTAGCAATTTCACAAAATGAGTTTATTTTCTGAAAGATTACTTTTACAATATGTTGTATGGCTGATCAGTTTAGATTAGAACTTGACTAAATTGGCAAAAGTGAAATCATTCAATGAGAAGAATCCAAGAAACTGAAATTTTGGATGTAATTTTCTCTGAAGAACATGGCATGTTCTAGACATTTTGCAGTTTTGGAATGTGATTAATTCCTGAGAAATGAAACATGTTCTGAATTGCAAAAATGTTGACTGACAGTCACAATTATTAACAATCAATTTTTGATTGACCAACATTCCAGATTATTTAAAATTATTATCTCCAAGGTGAAATCCATCGTCAGTACCCACGCTCAATCTCTACGTTCTCGGTCCGAAGCTTCACTGGTGATCCGCTCGATTACGCTGGTTACCAAAACGAATCGTTTTGGTAACAAAATGGCTGCTGTTCCGGCTGAAGAAAACGGTAAGAATTTTCGTTTTCCTTGATATCTCGAGATACAGCATGAATCATCCATATCTTTTCGGCCAAAATTTGGGTAAGCAATATATCTTTCTGAACAACCAAGTGATTTTGCTCGAAATAGTTTGTAGGATGGCAGGAACGCCAAAATAATTCCTCGCTTTGGTTACATAAACGAATTGATTGAAAATTGATGATAATACGACAACGGACAGATACAGCTACATAAACGATAACTAATATTTCTATTTAACGAGTTGTTGACTGACTGTGCCCTTGATTGGAATCTTTGAAAAGATCAATAACTACCATGACATTGTTTGCTCCCCGTGTGTTTGAATTTAATACGTTGGCCCAAAATCACTTGGCATACATTAGGTTACAGTAGAAACTATCCCGGCATTTTGTCTGATTTTAAATGATTGTTTTGTGGGGGCCGCCGGTCACCTACCCATCCCACCCAAATAGACTGCGTGTCTGACTCATTTTCGAAATGTTACATAAATCGAATGTTAATATTAGGCACACTAAGAAAATCATTTTTTCTATTCAATTTCTCCACAGTTTCTTGTAGTTGTTTAAAATTGTGTTATTTATCAATTCGTTTGGCTAAATCAATCGAAGCTAGGTCCATCAGAAAGTAATTTTGTTCTGCTGATACTCTGTGCACTTGCAAATATCCAGATGGGGACCTGTGATTCATGGGCTGCTTCAATTAACAGCGGCATTACATGCGTTACAATTTATACATTCCTTGCCCCGTGTACAATGGTGTAATGTTCCATTCAGCACGTTATCAAAAACGTACACAACTACTTCTTTTTTATTCTTAGATGACGTCCAGGAGAAAGTACAAGACATAAACACTGAGAAACTGCAGGGAGAGCAAGTTACTGACACCCCGGTCACTATTTTTTAGTGCTAGGATGTAATATCAAATAAAAAGTGATCGTGAAACATTGACAATTAATTATTCAATCTTGTTGAGCCAGTTGATTTCTACGGGGACCTCAGAAATGAACAAATATTATAACTCCGAGTTATAATTTCTACGGCGACCCTGCGGCCTGTAAAAAACTGGATACCCGTTTGGAGGCCGCAAGGCGAGCGTAGTTTTCCTACGCTCGCCGCAGAAATACACTGATTAATTTATCTGCGGTCGACGCACGCCCTCCGTACGACAAATGTGACTGGGTTATAAGCCATTTAGAAAATCGGAAACTCCAACGAGCAATGCAAAGCCCAACGAACACTATATCCAAAAAAATCGTGTAAAGGAGCACGTACGTTACCGCAAACAATTTCACACTGTCATATCTTGGATTGTGACTACTTTCCGACCACGAAGACTGGTAAATCTTTTAAATCCATTCATTATCTCAAAGAAAAGTGTAGACAGGCCAGACAGACAGACTGGACAGGCCAATCAAAATTTGGTTTCCAGATTCGGATTCCTGAGAAATTTCTACCCTTATTTCATAACTCACACGTTATATTTGGAGAACTTTTTGTTTTGACCTACTTTCCTGATACAATATCTCAAAATCAGTTCAAAATACTCTCTGACGGCAAAAGGCTAACCCTTTAAACATACTCTTTGCTATCTGTATATAGCCAATTTCGAAGAATATTATTAAAGTGCAGTGCAAGAATCCTAAAAATAAGGAAAAACTATGAATTTGACCTAGATTTTGACGAAGGCCTTTTAGTGTTCAAATTTTGAAGAAAAGTATATTTTGAGGTCCGATTCTATTGAAGGCTTTCATTAAGTTGGCTGTGGAGTAGGTAGCTGAGCAAGAAGCTGGTATTTTTCAATTCAAACTGGCACCATTGACTTAATATGAGGATATCATCATGTTGATTTTTTTCGAATTCAAAATGCCATAACTCCCGAACCGGATTGCTATTTGGTTTGCAGATTCTGATTTCTGAGAAAATTCTACCGTTATTTCATAATTCATATGTTAAATGTGGAGAATTTTTTTTACCTATTTTCCGGATACGATATCTCAAAAGTGGGTCAAAATATTCCCTGACGGCAAAAGGCTTACACTATTAGCATACTGTTTGCTAACTGAATACTAAATTTCGAAGAATTCTATTAAAGTGTAGTGCCAGTACAAATTAGGAAAAACTATGAATTTGACCTAGATTTTGACCTAGGCCTTTTAGAGTCCAAATTTTGAAGGAAGGTAGATTTTGAGGACGGCTTCTATTGTAGGCTTTTATTAAGTTGGCTACATCCAAGCTGTATCTACTGTTGTTACAATTGATAATTTTCTCAAGCCCCACTGACTTAACATGGGATACCAAAATAGCGATTTTTGGGATTTCAAAATACCATAACTTCCGTACCCGAAGTCGGATCAAAATTTAGTTTGCAGATTCGGATTCCTTGGAAAATTCTACACCTATTTCATAACTCATACGTTGAATTCCGAGAACTTTTTAGTGTGACCTACTTTTCGGATACCATATCTCAAAAATGGTAAGTGTGATCACAAACAATTGGCATGAAGGGATTAGCTTTTTTCCAAAGAACATGACTGAAAAAACCCAGAGCAAAAATATTGTAGGAAGACTGAGAAAATTGAAAAAATGACAAAGTACTGGATTTGACCTAGTTCTTGACCTTTGACCTATATTAAACCTGATTAGACCTGGACCTGGACTTGGACCTGGAAATGGACTGGACTGGTATTTTTTCAATATTTTCTTCACTTCCTTTGACTTTCTATAAGGCTATCATCAGATCGATTTTTCTCGAAATTTCAAAATGGCATAACTTTCGAACCGGAAGTCGAATCGAAATTGGGTTTGCAGATTCGGATTCCTGGGGAAATTCTACACCTATTTCATAACTCATATGTTGATTTCTGAGAATTTTATACCGTGGCCTACTTTTTGGACGTCATATCTCAAAAACAGTAAGAGTAATCAAAAAACGATTTGCCTCTCGGAATTGGCTTTTTTTTCAAGGAACATAATGAAAAAAACGGAGCGAAAATATTGAAAGATGACCGAGAAAATTGAAAAAAATGACAAAGTACTGGATTTGACCTAGTTCTTGACCTTTGGCCTAGATATAAATTTGACCCCATTTCTTACCAACTAGATACTGTACCTTAATTGACCATAGAATTGTCTTGAATAGATACCTTATAGTTGTTGAGAAAGCGTGACCAGTAAAAGAACAAGAATAAGAATAAACAAAAGAGGCAAAAACAATAGACTAATAAAGTCAATCGAACTCGGGAGATATCTAGCTAGCAATCAACCTATGAACATACGAGGGGTGATTCAAAAGTAATGGACAAAATTTTATAGGCATACTAAATTTCACCCAATCAGTCTAATTTTTTCACAGTGAATAGATCAATCAATTCTCTACTTTGTGTCGAATTCTCATTTAAATGCATTTGAAATTGTTTCAGCTATGCATAACCATGGTAACCAGGGTAAGCATGGGTGGAATTGGTTTTTTAATGATAATTGAATGTTTTTGTCATTTTTGCTTGATTTCGTTTTAATGACTCAATTACCACACATGATATGTCTAACAAGCATGGTAATGCAATTGTCAAGCAAGACTCACATGCCCATGTGTTTGCTGTTGAGTTCTAAATTCAGCAACCAATTGTGGTATGACATCACAATGATATTTCTAAGAAAATGCAATCTTGGACAGGCACTTCAAAAGAAAAGGAAAGACACAAGAGACAATCGTTTGTTACACATGGACAATGCCCCAGCACACAGGTCCAAGCTAGTTCAGGATACTCTTGCAGCATTCATGGACATGCCTCAACTTCCACATGCTCCATATTGCCCTGATACTGCTCCTTGTGATTTCTATATTTTTCCCACCCTTAAGATGGCATTAAAGGGACAATCCTTTCAGACATTAGCTGAGCTGCAAATGGCTGTACAAAAACAGCTGAACACCATGGCTGCTGATGGATATGGGCATGTGTTCTCTGCATGGGTGCGCCGACAGAAGAAAGTAATTGAACTTGGAGGAGAATACATTGAGGATTGAATATAATTCAAATGGATGATCATCAGGAATAATAAGGAATGATATGGATTATTATTGAACTTACTGCGATATGCTTTTCATATACATCTTGCATTGCAAAATATATTGCACCAGCAAACTTTTCATTGAAAATCCATTTGTTATTATGATGAAAATAGCCTTAAAAATGGATTCCGGGTGTATGCACCATGATCCAAGAGAAGTGCTCTATCTCAAAATGTATTTGCATCTAGTTAATAAAATTTTAACATCTAATAGATAATTGATTAATCTTTATTTGCACAAAGTTTCATTCAAATCTGGTAAAGGTAAGCGTGCCTATAAAATTTTGTCCATTACTTTTGAATCACCCCTCGTACTTTCTCAAAGATGTTCCCCTTCACCAATGCAATGCAATCATTTTTCACAATGTTTAATGCATTACTTAAGGAATGCCCAAACTTGCTGTTATTTTCGCCATTCCCAGGTGTGATGTCACACAATACATGCATATAGATTCCTTGAAGCAGATTCAATAGAGCACGGTCTTGCCTATATGGAGAAATGATGAACGTCTCTTTTACTTATTTTGATTTCTATTATTAATAATTCAAGATCAGATAAGTAAAAAGATATCGACTTGGGCAAGGCTAACCTCCACAGGGTAATGGGAGTCTCTTGATGTGGAGTTAGTGTGGTGGTCTCATTATGGAGACCTTGGCCCCTTCCCTCTGGAGGTCCTTTATTTTCTGTACCGATGTTATCCCAAAGTCGTGGGACCTATACTCAAATCCCCCGACTTCCTCCCTGAGATATCGTTTATGCACTTTAAGGTCCTGTGTGAGGTGCCGTCTCATTTCATGTTCTATAACACGTTCGATTTGATTATCCCCGGTGTTGCAGTAGCAGCACTTAAACATATGCGGTAACATATGATGCCGTTCAAAAAAAGAAATAACACATATACATTTCTTTGTTTGATTATCAATAGCTAAACATAACCGTTTCGGTAACAAGTGTGTTCAAATGCATGACCGTTGTCGTATTATCATCAATTCGTTTCTGTAACCAAAGCGAGGGATTAAATGGGCGTTCCTGTCATCCTACAAACTATTTCGATTAAAATCACTTGGTTGTCCAGAAAGATATGTTGCTTATCCATATTTTGGCCGAAAAGATCTGGATGACTCGTGCTGTATCTCGAGATATCAAGGAAAACGAAAATTCTTACCGATTTCCTCAGCCGGAACAGCAGCCATCTTGTTACCAAAACGATTCGTTTTGGTAACCAGCGTAATCGAGCGGATCACCAGTGAAGCTTGATGAAGCAAGATGGGTGTAATCAGGGTGAACCTTCAATTTATTGCAAGGGGATTCCATCTCTAGCACAAGAGAGCAGTAGGCTTTATGTGACAAGAAGTCGATTTTAATGATGTACATATTGACTATATTCCCACCTGGCTTACACTAATAAGACAAATAAGTACATCATTTATCTACCTAATTAGTACACTATCCTTGACTTTATTTAAGTAAAAATAGCTTGATATTGTCACTTGCCATATTTATCCATCATTAATAACGGAATGTACACGAATATGTATGTATACACCAATATATGTCAGAATCGTCTATTTATGTAAACAATCACGTAAGACATTAACCTGCATATTCAAGGCCACCATTGTGATGAATTTTATAAACATTGCATTAAATTGACTGAAAACCATACAGTTCAAGTGTATTGAGAAATTATTTGTGATAACCTGCCAAGTGTTTGAGTGTTTGAGCCTGCTGTGACTTTTGGCTCAATTTCCAACGTTGTTACTTTTTTTAGATCTCTCATATTTAGATTGAATTCTTCCAATTTTATTTTAAAAATCTCTTATTTTCATTGAAGGCTTTTTGCTTGCCTTAAAGTCCCATTGCAGTTTGAAAACATTTGAAAACATTGTTTTGTCTTGTTTTCATAAGTTTATCTTTGCCAACACAAACTTTAGAAATATTGATTTTAAGGTTAACATACTAAGAAGGGTTATTGATAATCCATTCTTTTTATGACTTTTGAGACAAAATGTCTCTGAAAAAAGGTCGCATGTCACCAGTTCAAATATCTCAATACCCACAATTATATACCATTGCGTAGCTTTATGATTGCTTTCATTGGATTTACACATGTACTGTATATGCTATTAACTAAATAGCTATAGTTTCTTACATAACCATTGTTCAAAGATATGTTTGCTCTTGCTATCATGTATGATTTCTATATGAGCGAAATACCTCATTTCTTGTCTATTACTTTATTCCCGTTTGAGCCCACTATTTCATTCTTTTTACTATACAGGGCCTCAAGCATTGGTCAACATGAATACAGAATACATGTTCACTGCACTTTTTGTAATACCAGAACACATTATAAACATGATAAATACATTATAGAAGTATCATGACTTGGGTACCACCATCGCCGCTTTCCACTGGGTCTAGAGATAGGATCAACTGAAACCTAAGTGAAACGAGAAATCCCCGGAGAGAAATCAACACAATATTTCTATATTAATTATATTAGATTATACATTTGAATATACTCGTATATCATAGTTTATTATAATTATTACATTATATTGTATTGTAAATGAATTCAGTTTGTTAAGATCTGTGGTTTATTTAAAGCAATAGTAAACCTGGAAACTTTTGAACGATTGATTTCCTTCAGTCAAAAGACTTTGGACACCATAATGGATCACATTTGGGTAAACTATTTATTAGTATAAGTAATAAAATAAGAACTGGACAATGCTTAAAGAAGGTGTTTTAAGCATCAAATTGTATATTTCACGAGCAATTACGTTCGATGCTGAAATCCTTAAACCAATTTAGTTACTTTGTGCGCGTTGTGACGTCAGTAGACCTATCAAATTGAACAGCCAACGAGCTTTCGTGAATATTAATTTATATCTATCAAAATTACCAAGCAAATACTTGATTTCGCGAAATCATTTATAATCGGAATTTTCTAGTTTTACAGTATGAGTCGAGTCAGTTGAATAAGCCTGGGCTTTTGCAATCTATCAGACGTGTATGGTGAACTTACTAGCAGCGAACCATAATTTGTCTACACATGAATTACCCATCCTTCAGTAGAAGGAGTTACGGATTCTGGACACCTGCTTTGGAGAACGGAATGTTATTACGGACATCAAGACTAACCTACGTCAACAAGACTAAGGACATTTCTCCAAATTATTCGCACGACCATGATCAAAGGAATTGAGTTAAAGCAGATAATAATTGGAAAATAACGCATCATTGAAGCATATGAAAAACTATAAATTGAAAATTTAATAAAGACAAACCAAATTTGTGTTTTTGCACCGAAGACAAAACGTACTTTAGATGAATCTTGGATTTTACATTGCAAATCGGACACGACTGTTAAAATGATGTAGTACCTGTAAATAGAAAATAATCTAGCTTATCAAAAAATGATGGGAAAGCTACAATTTATGAAGGATCAGGGGGTATTTGTCATACTTTATTAAAGGATTGTGTCAAAGAATTTGCCGTTACTACTGTCTTTTTAGAAGATTGATCACTAGGCATACAAAAGAAGATGCTCTAGCTATTAAAACCTTCACTGGTGGTGAATGGTTTAAGTAGACAATCTCCGTAGCAGTTTATTTGAAAATGGTTGGACCAACTGTGTTCTTTTGGATTTGCTTGGCAATTGTTCCATTTGCCTGCTTTGGGAACATCGTACTCTTAATTGCCTTGTGGAGATACCCCAAATTACGTCATCAAAGTGGATCAAATGTGGTATTTACAGTGGCGCTAGCTGGTTCGAATCTTGTCACTACAACTGTGATGTTTCCGTTAAAATCGATTGGACATTTTATCGATAGCGATCTAAGATTTAATCCTACAGCGTGCTTGCTTGGATGCCAGATGTTATCATTTACAGGGATTTCATCAGGGTTCATTCTTGGGTGCATAGCTTTTGAGAAGTATATTAAGATTCTTCACCCGTTTTTGAACTCCTCCTTCACAACACAGAGATGTTTGATTATCGTCTGCATTCCTATTATGCTTTGGGGATTTTTTTCATTTGCGCCTGCGTTTGGATGGAATCTTTATACCCCAGCTATGAAAGAGACGTACCGTTGTGACAAAGTATTGATACTTCCAATAGCTTACGTTGCCATTATCGAAGTCTGGATAGGGATTATATTTCTCCAAACTGTTTACTGCTACGGAATGATATTTTATGCAGCCAATCAGCATCAACGCCAGATCATAAAGGACCAATCACGTTTTCCAACTTTAGAATTTGTCGGATTATACAAAAAAGAACACGAAAACATAGAATTTCTTCAAAGTAAACAACAAAAAAAATGTAAAATGCATCCGAATTGTTCCAAAACTGACTGCCATTTGAAAATTGTTAAAACAGCCATAATAATCCTTGGAATGTATTTTCTTGTATGGATTCCCGCCCTGTCATTGCCGCTTGTGATGTCAATTAAAAAGAACAATGACGATATTTGGATTTATATGACATTACATTATTGTTGCTTTATTTTAATACTCTTACAAGCTTGCATCAACCCTGTTATCTACACATACAGAATGAAGACCTTTCGGAGAGCGTTTCAGAAAATCCTTCTGAAAAACAATATAAAAGATTTAAATGATGAGTCTAATACATGCGAAACGACTCCGAATTTGAAATGACTCATACAGTTATCGTCTAGTCTATACTATACATTAAAGCCATTGGAACCTCATGATATAAAATGTCAAGTAAAAATGAAAACTCCATTTTGCCTGCTGTTTGTGATTAGATATGATTGATTATTATTTGTAATAACTGCCTCAGTGCCAAAAATATGAATGTAACTCATCAGGTATTATGACGATTCTTATGAATAGATAAATTTAATAAACATGCAAACAGCCAATACATGTATGAATAAACCCTGGTATTTCCAATAGTTTCATCTTGTACTAGGTAGTCTAGCTACAGGCCTCTGTGACCCCCTCCCCTTCTTGACTGAACACCTTCTCACACAGAGTTGTAGGGGGGGGGGGGTACAACGGCTTGTAACGAGACTAAGTACTAAACTCTCAATTTTTTTAATTGACAGCCTGGCAATAAAGTGACATTTAAAGATGTTTGTCATAAATGTTCTATTTGAAATCGAATGGGTTGAAGTCTCAGAGTGGACTGTATCAGTTGTGCTCAAATCGCATCAAATTGCTTCACTAATCAACAAATTTCCGGAAGGGCATGCCCCCCGGACTCAGTTGAAAAACTTGCTTCATGGCCCGGTCAACGTCCTTTGGCCTTTGCAAACTAACAAAAAAAGATTCTCCTAATATGGGCAATAGTTGTCCAAATCTTGTGTAATCATGACCCTAATGTATTTTAATAATATTTGAACAGGTTAAGCCTAATATTCAGCAGTCTGATTTGGCACAATTGACAAAGTTTCAAAGTGAAATATTTCATGTTTTTCAATTTAGGAAGAAGAATGACAAAATTGATTTGGGTTTTGCCCAAATCAATCAGCAATTGATTGTAACAACCTCTGGTTTATTATTAAAAACGTCCAATACCACCTTATGGAACCTTGAAAATACACCTTTGGTATGAGTTGAAGTATATACATGTAGTTCAAAATAATGTCTCCCTCTAATTATGACATTTGAAAACATAATATTTTCATACCATAAAAACTTGAAAAGCATGCCAAGTGAAAAACGTACGCATTATAATTGAAATAACATGGCATTATACACGCAAAAAATTATATACTCTACTAACTGTTGCACACCGGAAAAGCCTGACAACGGTAGTCAGATACCGTTGTCACAAATGGCGGACATAACCGTCGCTTCAACTCTTCAATCACTTGGTCCTCATTTCATGGGACTTTATCGTCGCTAATTCTGTGCAAGTATTAAGCTCTTGTGATGATGTATCATACGAAATCCCAATTTCGATCAAATTGGGATGTGAATCGCCACAATAGCGTCTTCGACATCGTCAATGACTACGGAATCTGAATTTGAAATAATTTACAAAGACAACGACATATGAAAATACAGTGTCCGTTGTCCCGTATCTCATTTTGATTGGTTAAATTAAAAACTTTATTTCGATGGTAAAACACTAGTAGCTGTACAATGAGTATAAAGACATTTTGATTGATTGTAGTTCCAAAGGAATTAGTCTAGGTGCTTTATTAAACATACAGTTCATGGAAATCTAATTGAAGCGACGGTTATGTCCGCCATTTTTGACAACGGTATCTGACTTTACCGTTGTCAGGCTATTCCGGTGTGTGTTGCATGCCCGTTGCATATGTACTGTTATGTTACTGTACAGCGCCTATACTAAGACGCGTATTTGATTGCTTGTGGTGAGGAAATGGGGGGGGGGGACATAGCAATCATTATTTAACATCTTCTCAGTACATAAAATATTTATTCAAAAGAGAAGTGTTTGGCAAAGATCAAAGACCTATGTCCAATTTAATCAAAATGACATATAATGGTTTACTCTTACCATGGGCTTTCAAGTTGAAAGCCCATGCTCTTACTTACTGGCTAGACTGGATTAAAGACTGTTTTATTAAGCGTGTAATTAAGTATTTTCATTTAGGTGAAAATATGATAACTAATATTTTCAATTACATCGAGGTCTACATGATTACATGCATTAAATAAGAACCTGAAAGAATATGGTATTTGATTGTATGGCATATCCATTAGAATGTTTACAGAATGGACACATCGGACAATAGTTCCCATTAGTCGAACAAATAAATCTGAAGCTGGAAGTGTGTGCTTTGTTTTGTTCGGAAAGATTCTATTGCAACACAGGAACGAAACGTGACTGAAAAGTTCATAAGTTACAAACGCTTATAGTGTTTGAACGGTTTCAGTAAGCTACATGTTATGGACGTTCATTTGATGTATGACTTTTCCCCGATGTCTTGATCTAATCGTGAGTATGGTCACATTGGTAGGCTTACAGCCAATCGGTAGATCTACAGGCCTCTTAATTTATATCTAATCCCTGTATGACCCAGTATGACTGTTCCACATGGCGTGAATGCAACATTTGAAAACAAAATACTTTGATAGACATTCAGAAGAATTTTTAAAATAAGTGATTTGTAATGGTATATGGATGAGTGAATATACGCATAAAAATGTATCACTCTATTCAATGTGTATGACAGACATACACGATTAATGTCAATATAAGCTAAGAATGACTAGATCAACTCACCCACCCAACCATTCAAATGTGTGTCATTGTTTTACAATAAGCTCAATCGTTCCATTTATGTTTTATAAAAAATGTCTGTGTAGTAATTTTAATTCCTTACCTCATTATTTTTAAAACCTTTATATCACTTTATATCACTTTATAAGTAATCATTATTAAGATTTATCAAACAAATCAGCACGCAAAATCTCAAGATGACCGTGCGATGCCACCGGGCGCCGCAAGATAATCGTACGATGACCGGACGGGACATGGCCGGGTAGGTACCGATGAGTTTGGTTGAGAAAAAATCGCCAAGACATCGGTAACTTTTATCTCCGCGATAAAACTCTGCCGGCGCCCGTACGATGTCTAAAAATCGGCCGATGATGGGCGATCATCGCCCGGCGCCCGTACGATGCCCGGGCTCGCCGGCCGATTTTGTACAAAATACTCATCGGCCGGGCGCCGTAGTGAAAATCGGAGCCTATGTGACCAAGGCATAAGAAGGGGTTTTTGTTTTCACTACTTTGTCATCGTCACTTGGACCTCATCTGATATTATCTGCCTACTGATCTAGCGTGTTCCACTCCCGTTCTTAATAGAATGAAGTTTCTGAATTTTTATCATTTCTCAGGATAGACAGAATTTCAACAGACCCAACAGGGAAGCTCATGTTATTCTAAAATTATCAAAATGATGCAGTAATGATGAGGTGCTCTTTAAAATGCTAATGAGATCGATGTAAATGATTCGCCGATCATAATGTTTCTCTAAGTAGAAAAGTAGCTGAAAATTACTTCAATTTGTGTTTTTATTACATAATACTTCTGTTCTACCTGTTGAATCATTCACATTGCACGCACTCTGCAATGTGACACAAATTAACTTGAAAACTTTTTTTGCAAATTCGATGAGGTTTTTGCATATAGCAAATAGATACCGTTCATTGCTTTTTCACTTTTCAATTGATTCCGTTGAAAATCACTTTTACTTGGACTAATGTACTGAGTGGATTTTATGATTATTCAAAACTTACAAATAATCTATGGAGATCAGGCCCATAGCCATGCTTTGCCAAGGGGTTTCACATTAAAAAAAATTCCAAGGGGTTCACTTTTGACAACCTTGGCTCAAAAATGGCCAAACTCACTTAAAAGTGCAAGGAATGGTGAACAACTGCATAATTTTGAACGAGCCTGGGGACATCTATTTTCTTATAAACAGTTCTATTCTGAAGTCAGATAAAAGACCACGTGCAGTATGGCAAGTGATTTTAGACAGTCATATCTTTCACCCATGAGTACTTTCTGGCCATAAATACAGTGGCTTTTATTAAAACAATATGTTTTCTTTCAAGTGAAGTCCCCATTATAATAAAATATCAATCCAACTCTCTGAAAAATTATGGATTAGGGCCCCACCTTGGCAATTTTTGAAAAATGTTAGGCTTATTTTTTAAAAAGAAGATCTTGTTTTTCTCAATGTGAACATATCGAAAGTGTCTTCTACACTATATTAACAATTTCTGAAAAGGGAATGGGTATTGAAATGAGTTAAAGTTAAAAACCACATATCCCATGTTATTTTCCCATAGGGAAAACTCGTGCTATCCATTGTTTTCAGCATAATTTTGGTCATCGAAAATTAATATTTTCAAAACTAGACTCTCAATACCATTCTATTTTTGAACATGTCTTAGACCCCTTGTTGAATAATGTTTTCATGCAATAAAAATCAGAAAAAGAAGATCCTCTTTTGAGTAAATAGGTTCAATATTTTGAAAAAAATGTTGACATTGGGTCCCTATTCATAATTTTTCGAATTGTTTGATTTATATTTTGATCATCATGGGTACTTCACTTGAAAGAAAACATATTGCTTTAATAAAAACCACTGTATTTATGCCGATAAAGTACTAATGGTGAAAGATATGACTGTCTAAACTCATTTGCCATTGCACGTGGTCTTTTCTTAATTATACGCGTCAGTCCTTAGACGAACTATAATTCTGATTTTAGCTCACATGGTGAACTATTGCAATCACTCGCTTGTCTGCCTGTCTGTCCGTCTGTCCGAAAGAAGAAAACGAATGAAGACACTGATGCAGCAGCAACAAATGACATCCGTCTGTCTGTCTGTCTGTCTAGGTTGTACTTTTATAAAATTAGCAAAAAGTTAATACCACTTTTGAATGGGCAGTTGCTACCTACAGCCAATGACATCATCAATCCTGTTTTGAGTTATTTTTGTTCAACATCAATATAGTCAATGAAGACACTGATGCAGCAGCAACAAATGACATCCGTCTGTCTGTCTGTCTAGGTTGTACTTTTATAAAATTAGCAAAAAGTTAATACCACTTTTGAATGGGCAGTTGCAACCTACAGCCAATGACATCATCAATCCTGTTTTGAGTTATTTTTGTTCAACATCAATATAGAACCCCCCCTTTGACTCCTGGTTCAAAAGCTCGCCTATTTTCACAATGGTCGCCATTATTATTGTCTCGCAAAATTCACTTTTGGACCATTTGCTTTAAATCTCTGTTGATAGGATTCCCGTTTTAAGTTATTTTTGTTCAACATCAATATACAACCCCCCCCCCATGACTCCTGGTTCAAAAGCTCGCCTATTTTCAAAATGGTCGCCATTATTATTGTCTCGCAAAATTCATTTTTGGACCATTTGCTTTAAACCTCTGTCGATAGGATTCCCGTTTTAAGTTATCTTTGTTCAACATCAATACAGAAAACTCTCCTATCACTCCTGGTTCAAAAGTTCGCCTATTTTCAAAATAGTTGCCATTTTTGTCTCACGAAATTTACTTTTGGCCCATTTCCTAGCTTTACAAATAATTTCAGGT